TTCCATGAATGTTTTATCAGTTGATGAGTGCTTTTCTTTCTGCGTAGAAATGTTTGTGGATATTTGCCAACATGCGTTACTTACATCAAGCATGGTTCAGGGGATTTCCATATCATCAGCATGTCTTTTCTTTTCGCATTGGAAGTCTTAGATTCTGGAATCGACTTGGATTTCATATCTTTAACAGACTTTCTGTCTCTCTTTCTGTAACTGTCATACTTCTTGAGAAAGGAAAAAAAAAATTAAGTGCCACGCAGTGGCCCAGAAATTTGGATTCAAGAGAGGGACAAGTTTGTGAGATAAAGTCTCACAAAGTAGAAACATGAAAGATGAGCTGAGGGTCTCAAATTGCAAGTAGAGTTGTAGTTAGCATATACACCACAATATGCATTGCATTGGGTAGTTTGACATCTAGCAGGAAACGTCACTTTTGCAGGCAGTTAAAACATTTGGTTACTCAATCAACTTACGTATTTGGTTATAAATCTGATCCACATCCCCTCCCCACACCTCGTCTTTGTCTTTGAATTAGGTGGCGGTTACAAACCCATTGTAAGAAAGAATTTCACAGTGCTAGGAGGTGATCCAACGCCAAAACCGAACCAGAAAAGGAGAAGGGACGAGAGCTTGATCGTAGGCAAGGAGAAACCAGGGCCTGCTTATAATCACTGTGAGTATGCTGCTACATAATTTGTGAGTCAGAAACAGTTACTTGTTCATGTTTCTTGTGAAGCTCCACAAATTATTTCTTTCTTTTTGGTGGTGATGACAGATGCAAGCGGGCGTGGGTGGTGGGACTGCGACCGGGAGGGGATTGACAACGAAGAAGTAGGACTGAATGAGGTGTGGGAAGGAGTCGGATCTACCACATTGGGAGGAATAGAGTGGCATTGATCTTGAGATTCTTGACTTGATGCTACGAATATTTACTTATTTAGTAGATGACCAGATGTCCTTGTTGTATAATTTAAGATATATCATTAACAATTGAAGATGTCATGTTTACCACTCTAGCTAAAGATCATGGTGGGATGCTCTTAAATTATAAGTTTTTTTTTTTTTAACAAACGATATTACCTATACTGAAGGGATGAGATGAGTTTATCCTCACAATAAGCTAGAAATAATATGGTTTCAATTTGTATTTGACAATAATCGAATATAAGACCTGTCATTTATTAGTAAATAAGAATACCACTAGATCATAACTAAAGTTAAAAGTAAAAAATTGACCAAAACAGTTGAAAAATTCTGAGAATTCTGAGAATTCTGAGAATTCCGTGATCGTTATCGTTCATTGTATATCGAACAATCAGTTTTTATTAAGTATTATTTATATTTGATTTTATGTACTATGAACGTTAACGGAATCCCATCAGAGGCGAGGATCCTTTTTCAAAAAGTTGAAAAGTAAAATGGTATATGTCAGCATTCAAAACTGACCGTGGGTAAGGAAGTAAAAATCTGTTTCCTTTCCGCTCCAGAGAAGGACCGACTAAATTCCTATAGAAAAAGGCGGCTTCGTCCTTGACTCCAAGCCTTGGGAGTAACCAACCAGAGCAATCGATTTTCGAGGGGTAGCCATTAATGGAGGTTGACGAAATGGATTCGCTCTTCGAGGGCATGGTCTTGTTTACCCCTAACAATTCTGGTAATAACAGTCTACCCCAATTGGAGGATTTGGAGAAACACCATCTCCCTGATCACGGTGGTCAAGATCCAGCCCTTCAATCTCACCAAGATGGAGATGCTCCTCCACCTCCGCCACCTCCGCCAGAATCATCATCCTCCGAGCCTCTTGACGAGAACCTCTTCTCCGACCTCACAGTCCAATTCCAGACCCTCCCAAACCCAGAAGGTCCGCTAACACAGACACACGACGACCTTGTTCAGAATCAAACCCCCGCATCGAAACCAACACCGCCTGCGACAACATCCAGACAGAACTCCTCCACTTCCAGACGGAAAAAGCGAGCCGCTGGCCTCCGCATCGGATACGCCCGCGATTCCTATTCCAGTTCCAGGGCCGATGATCCCGATCTCGACGACGACTCCCTCCCCTACACCTCCACCTCCATCTCCACCAGCCCCGTGGTCCCTACTTCCACTCCATCTTCTGACTCCACTCCCCCTCCTCCCCCGCCTCCGCCTGTATCCTTATCAGTATCGGAACCAGAACCAGTACCAGTAGAAGTGGTCGTAAATGACAAAGAAGCCCCTCCCGAGCTCCGGTTGGATCAGAGCAAGGCTCTGATCACCGACAAGCTCAGTCACGCTCGCCAATTGGCTGCCTCCATCTCCGCCGCAAGGAAGGAATCCATTGCCAAGAGAAGGGCAGCAGCGGACCATCTCAATTTGGCGTCTGTCAATGAAGCCAATCTTGAGAAACAGCTGGAAGAGGCTTGCGAGGCTGAGGATTTCGACACTGCACAAAGGCTCAGTGACAGCCTTGCAGCTGCTCAGAGCCAGAAGCAAGTTCTGTTAGCCGCCCTCAGAGATGCCGAGGCCGAATGTGATGCTGTGGACACCAAAATGCATCAAGTTCTCCAATCTCAAATCACCGCCGAGGAAGAATGTGCTTCTCTGCTTCAACGCTTTGCCACCGTATGTACCTCCTCCTCCACCTTTTGATTATTTGCTTGCAGAAATTAATTGTTTTTAATAGCATAGACTACAAACAAAATGGAGATAATGGAATGAATGGCAATTGTGAAAGTTATGACATTACAATGATGACATGTAGTAATGAGTAATGTGATGATTGTTTGGTTCGATATCACAGGATGCCTCGAATGATGCAGATTTGGTCTTACAAACAGCAGAAGCCCACTCTTCAAAAGAAACAGAAGAATGGCTTTCATCGACTGAAGCCTTGCATGCCAAGAAAATGGAACTGGAGATTGAATCCCATATCATTGATGATGCTGGGCTTGTCTTGGACTCTTCCATTGACACTTTGGTGGAGGATGACAAGAGGGAGAAAGAATGTCTCTGTAAGAAAAAGGACGTTCTCATGGACGAACTGGAGAAGCTACTTGCTTTGGTGAAACTGAAGGAACAAGAGATTGCACAAAATGATCGTGACATCAAACAAGTTGAGGAAAGGATTGATCTTGCTCTTTCTGGCTTCCAGGACATGCAATCCAGCATTCAGGCCAAGTCCAGCAACTTGCAAGCGGCCCTCTCTAGGATAAATGTAGAGAGTGAGGCTCTGTCAACAAAAAAGACGGAAATTGATGCCTTCCTTACTCAGGAACAAGAGAGGGAAGCAAAGTTGAGGGAACTGGCCAGGGCTTCCACAGAGGAAGCAGAGGCATACCAACAAGTTGCTGCTCTTAGAAAAACTCTCATGTCCTCTATTTTGAAGTCCAGGGAAGATAATATCACGCTTGCAAAGACTGAGGAAGAGCTCTCCAAGGATGTTCAAATGCTCCAACAGGATGTTTCTGCCTCAAGAGCTTCACTGCAGGAACTGTCTTCGAAAAAGTCGAGCATTCAGCAAGATATAGCATCCTCTAAGCAGAAAATGATTTTCATAGACAAAAGAATTCCAGAGCTGGAAGCAGAAAAGAAAGTCGCTGCAACTGCAAGAAATTTTAAGGAAGCAGCACGACTTGCTGCCGAGGCTAAGTCGTTGAATGTTGAAAAGGAAGGGATACAGAATGACATGGAAAAAGCCATCTTAGAGCTTGAGAAACTCGAGCAAGAGATAAAAGAGACTGTTAACAGATTGCAGGAGACAGAGGGGCATATTCTCTCCAAGGAAAAAGAGCTAGCTACGGCTAGGTTTCAGAGGTTGCTTCTGATATCTGGTATTGCCAAAGCAGAAAGAGAAGCTGCTTTGGAGTTGGGTAACCTTGAAGAAGCTAACCTTCTGCTTGGGGAGGCCGAAGCAGCAGACTCTGAAGCAAATAAGCTTCAACCGTTATACGATCTCAAGGTGGAAGAGGTTGAAAGATTACCAAAGCAGTTCATCTCCGTGGAGCTTATATCTAATCTTGGGAGGAAGCAGTTAGAAGAATTAGCAGCATCGGTGCAACCTTCTCAGGGGTGACAACTTGCAGAGCTAGAGTCGAGGATTGATTTGTTATTGATCTCTGTCGAGATTGGAAATCATAAGTCTACAAAGAGTTTGATATGAAAAGCTGGAACAAGTAAAAAAAAAAGTAATCCTACTTCATGTACTATTACTAGAAGAGGTAATTTAGAATTGGAAATTGAAATTTTCATTTTTCTTTTTCCGAATTGGATGTGTTTTGAGTGTTTTATTTGTGGGTTTCTCAAATTATGAATCCCCACCAAGCTTTTTTCGGTAACTTTTGTAGAGTTTCTATATTCCCTGTTTTTTCTTTCTATAATTGTGATGTGGTTCTGGATTTGTTTCTTTTCCTTCATTTTATGTTGCTTGTAAACTGTTGGGAGCCCTTACCCTTTTTTGATAGATAAATGGAGAGGCATTTTGATGTTCTTTTTTATTTATTCGTCGATCGCAGACAATGATCAAAATATGGTATCTCGTAATTTGATGACTATTTGTGATAACTTCTTCTGGTGTTCTTCTGAGATTATCATTTCTCCATCCATCTGTTTTCTCTCCATAGATATTGTGATATCCTCAGTCGAATTTTAATGTTATTGGGGTTGTGTATTTTAGCCTCTAAAGTACGGTTGCTCTGGGCACTCTCACCTGCTACTGCCAGGATTGTGTTGAATTAATACCAAAATTTTGACCCGGTCTTAATAGTAGGAAAAGTATTTTTCCATTGATAAAATGAATAACATTACACTTTGGGTATTTATACAAAAGCTGTCACAGCTAACAGAAAATATACCTCCAAAACTAACTAAGATTCCTTAACTTTTAAGTATTATCTCTTGTAGGTGTAATTACATTTTTATCCTTGGTACTTAATACAGAAGTCATTGAAATCAATTACAACGACTTCATATTTGCACTTTGACTCCTCTCTCTCTCTCTCTCTCTCTCCATATTTGCAGGAGACTCGAGTCTGGAGTCAACATTATTCAGAACATTGACATATTTTAAGAAGCTCCTTTGGTCCGTTAATAGTTCAGAGGATCTTGCATCAAAACTAAGACTGAGCTATGGAGAACTCCAAAGAGATGGTTGTGAGGTTGGTTTATATAATTCCTTGTTTTCTTATGTCGAACAATAGGACTTGGAAGCTATTGGTCCAACGGTATTTCTCTTCCCAATGTTGTAAGAAGTTCGAGTCTACCATCTTAGTCTGGTGGAACCTCTACCAACTTGGAAGCCCCACTATACCGTATATTATTTCAATGACCGTTTTCATGTTTCTTCTTTCTGACGGCTGCAATGTTTATGTTATTTCCCTTGTGTCATTTTCAGTATTGCTGAACACTGTACAGCGGAGGCCAAGATGAGGAAACTGTTCCTTGTGATATGGAAGAGGATATTTATAATATCATGCGTCTTTGCTCTTTTCCTAGATCCTTTATTCTTGTACATTCCTATCATCAATGAGGATATCAAGTGTCTCATGTTGGACAAGAAGTTGAAGAATACAGCTCTTGTTTTGAGATCATTCACAGATCTCTTTTACATAGCGAACGTTGTCATTCAAATTTATTTTGAACCTAAAGCTCGGCCATTTAGGGTGATGGGGAAGTCCTATTGCAGTACGATAGTTTTGACCAAAGGAGCGACATTAGTTGAGGACGCTCTGGATTTGGCCAAGTGGATTTGGCGATCACACATCCTAATCGACATTCTAGCCCTTCTTCCCATTCCACAGGTACAATGAGACGCCTTTGCTTTTCTAACCTCTCTGTCTGTTAACGTGTAAGGAGGATTGGATTCTCACATGTTAGGATGTCAATTTTACTATAAATGCATAAGATATTTGCTTTTATAGGCGTATAGAACTGTATATTACTGCTAGACCAGGATTCAGCTGATTACATGTGATATATTTCTTTTTAGGAGAGGTCAATACCCTAATTGATTCATCTCTTCACAGTGTTGGAAGAGGTTCCAAGTTTGAATCCCCAACCCCCTCTGTCAAGTGATAACAAAAAACATTATTTACACAATGACGAGATATATAACTCTTTGCTTAAGCCTTTGTTTTGTGTGTAGGTACTAATTTTCATTTTCTTCACAAATATGAGAGGCTTCAGGTCAAGGATAGTTCTAAACTCTCTTGTTCTATTTCAATATGTGCTGCGGGTTCTTCGCATCTACTTATCGTGTAAACAGCTTGAGAATCATGTTCAGTCTGTCTTCAAATTCTTTACGTTCATCCTTGCAAGTCATGTAAGTTCCAATCTCATCTTTATTTGCTTAATGTTGTTACTCTATTAAAACATTTGTCCTGCAAGTCATCCATGAATGATAAACATACATGTTGAAAAATGAAGTTGCTCGTAGTTTGCATCAATGAATTGTATTTCAGATTTAATGATGTATATACATTAATCGCAAGTGTTCGATGAGGCAATGCCACCTATATCTGTCTATTTAACGGGTTCAGATTGCATTATCATGAGCAATGAGTCACTGCCTAACTGTGACAATCTAATGTTGCGTGGTATGGTGCTCTCAGATCTTCCAAAATTTAACAGCCTTGTTTTCTTTTTACTTCTTTGGCTTTCAAAATCTGATTACATTCTTCATTAATACGTTGTGAAGCTTTTATTTCGTGAAAACTTAATAAACGTACTTTCGTCCCCTTCAAACCAGTTACATTAATTCAGAATTTTCTCTAAATCCAATCATTATCATTAACTAATTTATTGGTCCTTTATAGGTATTTGGTGCCCTTTGGTACTTTTTCTCCATTCAACGAGTAACAGATTGCTGGCAATTTGCATGTCGGAGTACAAATGGGTGTGAAGCTAGTTCTTTTGACTGCAACGATCATCCGTTTAGAAATATCACACTTCTAAATAGTTTATGTCCCATAAATCCACCTAATGCAACACTCTTTGATTTTGGTATATTTCTTGATGCCCTTCAATCTGATATGTTGAGATCAAGCGATTTTCCACAAAAGTTCTTGCACTGTTTCTGGTGGGGTCTACGAAATCTTAGGTATGTAATTGCATATAGAAGGCTCAACTATTTGATCTTGCATATTGAACTATTGGGTGGGGGTGAACAATTTCACAATCAACTTTGCTGTTGTAGTATTCTGCATTTGTTCATTCATGCTAAAAGGATTATATACAACTGTCGTTCTCTCGATGTTTGTCAGAATTTTATTTCTTCATATAGAGATGGGATCTTAACTAATGCTTTTGACATAAAGAAACGGCTGTAGATCGAGTTTCTTATTCGAGCTCATAATTGAGATAATGCGACTTCATTTCATCTTTGCAGTTCTTTTGGCCAAAATCTCCAGACTAGTACCTATGCATGGGAAGACCTCTTTGCAATTTTCATCTCAATAATTGGCATGCTTCTCTTCTTAATATATCTCAATGGAATTATGCAGGTTGGTTTTTAGTCCGTCTCCATAAAACAAGAATCTTGAATGGTTGCTACGCATGTTCACTGCTTTTTTTGTTACGAAAACAATATTAACTTGCTAATCAGTACTGAATCTACTCAATCGGGTGACTGTAAAGCTTCTCCGTTGTTCATCATTACCTAAAGTTTTGTCATGCATTCTCAGAATTTAATGAATTGATCGATCACCTAGCTACTTGTTCTTGTATACAGACATATATGCTGTTGTCAACTGAAAGATCAAAGGAGCAAAGGAAGTTGATGAAAATGGAGAGGAAGAGAGGCCCAGCGATAGCATCATGGTTACATAACAACGACATCCCGTTAAACATGAATAAGATGATCATGTCATGTGCACTACGGGAACTTGATGCGAACAAGGATGTCAATGTCGAGAACATCCTCTCTGTTGGTCTTCCCTTAGAATGTCTCAAACTCATCAAACGCCATCTCTGCTTGGCTACGCTGAAAAGGGTAAGTTTTTCTTTCCATCAAGAAAGATTCTCCCCAAAAAAGTTCTGATCATATCCATCGTAGTATATTGAATTTTTCTACTCTGGTTAACCACACATTTTAAAACGCAGATATGCAGTCGATATTATTGATAGTTTATATACTTTGACCTTACAGTTATGGATATAATGTACATTAATGATGCCTTGTTAGATTTATTATCTATGTTTATTTTTCTTGGGGAATAATGTATCTAATTCTAACCTTAGGTGCCAGTGCTTCAAGCCATGGATGACGAAGTGTTGAGAAAAGTTTGTGACGGTTATCTAAAGCCAATGATCTATAACGAGAACAAGTACATTATTCGGGAGATGGAACCAATTGAGAAGATGCTCTTCATCACGCAAGGCACGGTGCGCACCTACAACACTAGCAACAGTGGTGGAGGTGGTTTCTCAAGGACTAGCTGCCTTGAGAGAGGTGATTTTCACGGGGAAGAACTTCTAAATTGGGCATTGTATAACGTTAATGTTGCCTCCTCTTCCGATGACCTGCCCATCTCCACTAGAATTGTTAAGTGCAGCACAAAAGTTGAAGGGTTTACCCTCATGGCCAACGACTTGAGAAGTGTCGTCTCTGAATTTTGGACCAATGACATCGACAACCCTCTCTCTGTGTCGGGCACCCGCTAGGTTGCGAAATCAATATGCTAAGACTTGTGGCATATTGATTTCGTAGTACACCCCGTCTTGCACTGAATACTGTCTTCCCAGGTGCATCCACAATGTTTAGAAATTTTTCAATATGATCTGAACATGAGATGACATACTAATTTACAAATTATGTGATACATGTATCATCTGTATTCTCGTCATCATAAAAAAATTTCTCCACAATGTTGGAGGTAGATTCGGATAAAATTCTAAGATACAAATTTACTGCCACCATTACATCTCGGGCCGTTAATAAAGCTGTATGAAAAAGGTTTGGTACATTAACTTGTTTTCGTTTGTAAATTTCATAGTAACGGTAAACCCGTTTCATACGATCTGTTTGTCAATCCTTCCGTTAAATACTGACATGAAACTTCCTTCGCCTTCGTCGACCCCGATCCTCCCCAGTTACCCCTAAACCTTCCCCGTCAATCACTTCATCCTCGTCTTCCTCCTTTCCGTCGTGCTCATCGCCGGCCTCTTGCTCGTACATTTTGTCATCCTCATCGCCGGCGCGTGGATGGAGCAAGCAAGAAACAGCCGAGAAATTCGAAGCCTTTCCCGCCATTTTCTCCCCTTTTTTCTTTGCCTTCAGTACTTCTCAGCCTCTAAGAAAAACAAGATCAGATATTCAGACCAGTGATTTGGGTGAGGGGTGGGTTCGAATCGTACGGACGACGACGACGGGGAAGGAGAGTGGGCGTACATGGAGAGGGTGATGTTGGATTATGTGGCCAAGTGGCCATATACTTTAGATTAAACAAACCAAAGGTGGACAACACCTTTCCTTGTTTTGGGGAGGAAAATAGGGGAAAGGTTTTTTGTCTTGGTCCATGGGAAGTCACGGTTGAGGTTTTGAATAATAAGTTTTGGTTGTAATGAGAAGTAAGAGTGGGATAGAAGAGAAGAAAATAGAGTGCAGAAAATTGAGAGAGCCGAAGAGAAGAGAGGGAGAGAAAGAAGGTACTGCTACAGTACCATTTTCAGAGAAGGGGTTGTTGTTCTTTTCATTGGATAATTCTCACTCCATCAAAGTGTTATTGTTGTAATAGCTTTGAGCTTTGTATAGAGAAGAAATTAATCACTATATTTCTTTCTCTATTTGTTTCTTTAGAGTGTGAGTTATTGGGTTATTTGGGTTGTGAGATTGCCAACACTTTGTAAACTCCCATTTGGTTGATAGTGGATTCTTGGGTGAGCTCCTACTGCTCCGAGGACGTACTCCAGTTACACTGACTGTTGAGGAACCTCGTTAAAATATTGGTGTCTTTTAATATTTTTGTTCTTGCATTTTATTTGATATATTTCCTGTGGGTTAGCTTGAGTTGGTTCCACAAGGGTTTGGTGCTATCCTAGCACAACAATTGGTATCAGAGCACTGGTTGCTCTTGGGTACTGTCTAGTTGCCAAAGATGTCAGACGGGCAAGATGAAAATCCTTTTGGAAGCAGCTCCGGGTTTGCAAGAACTACGGTGCAAAATGCAAAGTTCGAAGTGGAAAAGTTTGATGGCACAAACAACTTCGGGATGTGGCAATGTGAGGTCAAAGATGTGTTGGCTCAACAAGATCTACTTGCCGCGTTGGGAGAGAAGCCGGAAACTATGTCGAAGCCGGAATGGGAAAAATTAAATTTGTGGGCTTGCTCTTCAATTCGGTTGTGCCTTGTAAAAACTCAGAAGTATTTTGTGATGCGGGAGACGGTAGCAAGTGTGTTGTGGCAAAAATTGGAAGACAAGTATATGACAAAGAGTGCAGAGAACCGACTACACTTGAAGAAAAAGCTCTACCGCTTCCAATACAAAGAAGGTACAAAAATGATTAGACACCTTGATGCTTTTAATAAGTTGATTGCCGACTTGTTAAATTTAGATGAGGATATTAAGGATGAAGATAAGGCCTTAATATTGTTGAATTCCTTGCCGGACTCTTATGAGCATTTTGTTACAACTATTATGCATGGTAAAGAAACTGTGAAATTTGAAGATGTGTCAAATGCCTTGATGAATTATGAAATGAGGCATAGAGATAAAAATCATGATAGTACCTCTGAAGCTTTATTTGTTAGAGGTAGATCATCGGAGAGGAGGTCATCTTCTAGCAGGAAAAAATCACAGTCTCGACCTAGGGGAAACTCTAAAGGTAGAAAACCTTTGGAAAGGGATGAATGTGCCTTTTGTCATAATAAGGGCCATTGGAAGAAAGATTGTCCAAAATTGAAGACCAAAGGCAAAGAAAGTTCTGAAGCTAATGTTGCTGAGGTTGAAACAGATTTTTCTGATTTTGCTTTAACCACTTCCTCATCATTTGATTGTGCTACTAAGTGGGTGTTGGATACGGGTTGTACTCATCATATGACTCCTCACAAGGATTGGTTTTCAAGCTTGAAAGAGTTTGATGGTGGCGTTGTGTTCATGGGAGATGACAATCCTTGCACAACAAAAGGGATTGGTACAGTTCGTTTGAAGTTGCATGATGGCATGGTTAAAGAGTTGACAGGTGTTCGGTATGTACCGAATTTGAAGAAAAATCTTATTTCTTTGGGTACTTTGGAATCTAAGGGTTTCAGGTTTCATTCAGATGGACAGACATTGAAAGTTACTTATGGTGCACTTGTTGTGATGAAAGCTCCTAGATGTGGCCATTTGTATTTATTGCAGGGAAGCACTGTGACAGGTGAAGCATCTGTAGTATCTGAAAATATGGGCACATCTGATTCAGATACTACTAAATTGTGGCATATGAGATTAGGCCATGCCGGTGAGAAAGCTCTACAAGGGCTTGTGAAACAAGGTCTTCTAAAAGGTGCCACGACTTGTAAGCTTGATTTCTGCGAGCATTGTGTCTTGGGGAAGCAAACTAGAGTGAAATTTGGTACTGCTGTACATCAGACGAAGGGCATTCTTGATTATGTGCATTCGGATGTTTGGGGTCCTACAAAGACTCCTTCTTTGAGTGGTAGACATTGGTTCGTGACCTTTGTTGATGATTATTCAAGAAGGTCTTGGGTCTACACTATGAAGCATAAGAGTGAGGTGTTAAGCATTTTCTTGGGTTGGAAGAAAATGATTGAGAACCAGACTGGGAGAAAGATTAAGATTTTGAGATCGGATAATGGTGGTGAATACACATCCAATCATTTCTTTAAAGTTTGCAAAGAGGAAGGAATTGTGAGACATTTCAGTGTTCGGGGAACTCCACAACAAAATGGAGTTGCAGAAAGATTGAATCGAACCTTGCTTGAGAAGGTTAGATGTATGTTGTCTCAGTCGGGTTTAAGCAAGTCATTTTGGGCAGAGGCAGTTAATTATGCATGTCACATCATCAACCGGTTACCCTCAGCTGCTATTCAGGGTAAGACACCAATGGAGGTATGGACTGGAAAACCTTCTTCTGATTATGATCATATTCGTATTTTTGGTTCACCTGCTTATTTTCATGTAACTGAAAATAAACTTGATCCTAGAGCCAAAAAGGCTATCTTTCTTGGTTTTAGTAGTGGTGTCAAAGGTTACAGGTTGTGGTGTCCAGAGATGAAGAAACTGGTAATTAGTAGAGATGTGACATTTGACGAAGAAAGTATGTACAAAGTCTCTGAGAAGAATGTGAAAGATGTCCAACAGGTGGAGCTTGAGAAAGTTGCTTCTGGTACTTCAAATCCTATTTCCGCTGATGTCGAAGCCACTACAAGTGAAGAAGTTGGAGACCATGAGGATGTTGAAGAAGTTGAACTTGAAGATTCTATTCAAGTTGAAGAGCAAGTTTCACCTCAAGAGTCTATTGCCAAGAACAGAGGAATGAGACAAATTACTAAGCCAGCTCGGTATAGTGATTATGTTGCTTTTGCTCTTCCTATTATCACTGAAGAGATTCCATCCAATTTTGAGGAAGCTATTGAGAGTGAGGAGAATAATAGGTGGTGCAATGCCATGGGTGATGAGATGAATTCTCTCTTGAAGAACAAGACTTGGGAGTTAGCTAAATTGCCTAAGGGCAAGAAAGCTATTGGTTGCAAATGGGTGTATGCCAAGAAGGAAGATGCTGATGAGAAAAGCAATGTGAGATTTAAAGCAAGATTAGTTGCTAAAGGGTATGCACAAAAGGAGGGGGCATTGACTACAATGAAATTTTTTTCTCCGGTTGTGAAGCACTCCTCAATTCGCATTATGTTAGCTCTTGTTGCACAGTATGATCTTGAGCTTGTGCAACTTGATGTAAAAACGGCTTTCCTACATGGTGATTTGAATGAAGAGATTTATATGTGTCAACCAGATGGGTATATAGTGAAAGGGAAGGAGAATTTGTTTTGCAAATTGAAGAAATCACTTTATGGCTTGAAGCAATCTCCAAGGCAATGGTATTTGAGGTTTGATAAATTTATGAGAGGCCAAAATTATTCTAGAAGTCAATATGATCATTGTGTGTACTTCAAGAAGTTGCAAGATGGGTCTTTCATTTATTTATTGATATATGTTGATGATATGTTGATTGCCTCAAAGAATGTCGAAGAGATTGAGAAATTGAAGAAGCAAATGAAGAATGAGTTTGAGATGAAGGATCTTGGTGAAGCGAAGAAGATCCTTGGCATGGAGATCACTAGAGATAGAGCAAAGGGTTTCGTCAGTTTGAATCAAAAACAATACCTTGAGAAGTTGATTCGGAAGTTTGGAGTTCATGATTCAACCAAACCCGGTTAGTACCCCTTTGGCTCCTCATTTTAAATTGAGTTCTCTACAATGTCCTAAAACTGATAAAGAGAAACTGCAAATGAAAAATATACCATATGCAAATTTGGTTGGTAGTTTGATGTATGCAATGGTATGCTCTAGACCGGATATTGCTCATGCAGTTGGCATGGTGAGTCGATATATGCATAATCCAGGTAAAGAGCATTGGCAAGCAGCCAAGTGGATATTGAGGTATCTCCATGGTACTCGAGATGTTGGTTTATGCTTTGAGAGGGATGACTCTGGTATTGGTCATTTTACAGTTGGTTATGTTGATTCAGATTATGCAGGTGATCTGGATGGAAGGAAGTCTACTACAGGCTATGTGTTTACTATGGCTAAAGGGCCAGTTTGTTGGAGGTCCATTTTGCAGTCGTCTGTTGCCTTGTCTACTACAGAGGCTGAATATATGGCAGTTGCTGAAGCTATAAAGGAGGCCATTTGGATACATGGGCTTATTAGAGATTTGGGGGTTGATCAGAAGCAGGTGGAGGTACATTGTGATAGTCAGAGTGCCATTTATTTGGCTAAGTATCAGGTTCATCATGCGAGGACCA